ACTCTATAAGCACAACTTGTGTTGTATGTATCATTCTTTCTTTCTCTTTTATTAGCCTTTTTCTCGTTATTGCTTGTCTTATTTTCTTGTGCTTCATCTTTTTCAGTTAAAAACTTTGTCACCGATCTCTCTCCACGAGGATCCGGCGAAAATGTCACTGGACATGACCGGCTCCGAACGTGTTTGTTACGTTCACTGCAACTTCTGCAACACAATTCTAGCGGTATAATACTTTAATTCTTTCATTAACTCCTTAATTCTTCAAATCCCAAGATCCTTAAAGTACGGGATTTTATCAATTTTTGTGCTTAGTTTTAGAGGTGGTGATCCATGGTATCTATCAAACATTTAAGGAAATTGTTTATTTTGTTTACTTCTAGTTTTTAGATTTTTTTTTCCCCAAAAGTTTTGCAGTAGCAAGTGGAAAAAAAGATAACTTTTTTAAGTGGAATGCAGGTGGTGAATTATTGGATTTTTTACTACTTTCAAACTAAATACTATGATATTTGTATGCTAATTTTTCGATGAATTTATGGTGAAAATATTTAGATATGAAAGTAAGGGTTCCATTTGGGCTTGCTCGAAAGGAAATAAGAGTATTTTCCGGAAATACTCGCTACTAGTTTCTTCATTATTTTTGTTATCTCATTTATTTTGATTTTATTTTTCATAAATCTCACATAAACTTGGTAAGCAGAAAGAAAGAAGGTAAAATTTTGCAACTCCAAAGAACTTTCATGTGAATCAAGAGCTTGAAATCTGAAACCCCAGAAAGAAAAATCAAGATTCGGTGTGCTTAGAAGGCTGAAGAACCCTAAAAAATAGCATGAATCTTAGTCTGCCTAATCTTGAAGGCAGCCGTGAGGTCCGTGCCTATGATTCTTAGGGTTCTACTGATTTCAACAGTAAATATAAGTTTCATTACTTGTCCAAGATTTGATAATTGAATTTCTGATGCATAAATTTGATGGATAAATTTAAGTTTCTCTGCAATTCGCTACTCAATAATAATTGTACTAGCTGAGTTTTGATGCCTGTTACGCATCCCATTGTTTGTTTTTATGTGTTATTAGTTTTCATAAAACAATAGCACTATTTCACACTGTAAAATGTAATTGAAGTCTCTCTCTCTCTCTCTCGCTCTCTTTCTCGCGTGCGAAAAATACAAAGTGAGTGTGTCAGATCAGAGAAGGAAAGAGAGATTACAATGGTCTTCACACAAGATAACTTCTTATTTTTGCCCATGTGAGGCCCTGTGATGGTTGCGGTGAAATTGGCCTTATTGTGAAAGCTACACTAACGAACTTCATTCCAATAAATATGCAAAATCAAGAAAGAGAACAAATAAATATTTACAAGATAGGTAACTTTTCTCTTCTTCTTCCTTGAGACAATCCTATCTCAAATATTTCTTGTAGTCTAATCCCAGATTCTCGCATTTTCGGTCGCCTTCAAGTTTAACAATCAACTCTTGACTCTACAAGAAAGAAAGGATTAACTGTTAGGGTTTGTAGGAAAATTCAAACAATTTTCAGAGGAATCTTTCTTCATTTTCTCTCTCTTACACGCACAGACGGGTTGGAGGTTTAAAAATATGATTTGTGCATGGTTGAGTTGGATTAAGTATTGATTACATCATTTTTTCCATTGAAATTAATGCATGTGATGAGAGCAGGTTAGCGTTCCTTGCAACAGCATGCCGACCATTGTCACAGTCAGATGTGGCCATTGCTCCAATTTGCTGTCTGTTAATGTGGGAGCTTTGCTTCAGTCTGTTCACATTCAAGATTTCCAGGTATACACAGACACACACAAGTTCGCGCCAGTTGACCACTTCAGATTCTTCTGCCTTTGATGTAAATAAATTAAACGAACCATATTTATATAATACAATAATTAATTCATTAGTCTCAGTATCCCACGTTCCTGCAGATTGTATACACTATTTAGTGTTTCGTCTAATACGGTAGTATTGACGAAAAAAAAAAGGAACTAAAATCTTTTATCATGTATAGTCCATAGCAGAGATTCCAATCTCGTGCTATGTGTACTAAGCCCAATTTTTACTTTGTGTTCAATCTTTAAAGGGATTTCTTTTTCCAGTCTTGTTCAATTTTATTTTTTTTAAACAAACTTACACCAATCAAATTATGGTTTTTTGCTGTTTGTTGCAATAGTTTTTAGTTTTCCTCTCTAAATTGATTGTTTAGGCAGCACTTTAATTTCTACGACACATATATATGTATGTAAAATGCTCGATGTCATCTTATTTGCTAAGTATCCTAGCCGATCTATAGGTATATTTAACTAATGCTCGTCTTTTTTGCACAATTGAAGCACCAGAAACAACAATCTACCGCTGAATTAGCTGCCACTACAGAATGTGGTTCATCATCAAGATGCAGCAAATTAACACCATTTGAGCCTGAATATGAACAACCTAGAATGACTCCGATACGTCGTAAGCCCTTTTTCTCTCTTACCTACAAATACATGTACGCACACATCGTGTTCATAAAGTTTAGGCATCTCTACAAGGGATTTTGTCCTTGCCTTCTATATTTTTCAAATGTATTACCATACCTTAATCCTTGGAAATGGTTTTTCTCACTTTTGCTATATAGTGTTCGATTATATTTCAAAGTGGTGGCGCCAATAGCTTGTCATTAAGCCCACATGTCATCAAGTGATTTTGATGAATTCTAATAAAAAAGTAATAAAAAGGGCACCTGACTTTTTTGCTTCATTCATTACACGTCATACGATTGTGACATTACGTTACTGTCCAACTCATATTGTAACATTGGTATCCTCAAACATATGCCTAGTACGCTTATGTTTTAGGCTACGCCTTTTTCTTGTAAGCCATAGCCCTCCATAAATGGTAGGTTATCAACATATCATTAATTAGAGTAGAGCATTGTTTGCTCTAATTTGAATAGCAAGATAGAAACTAGAGAAAATGATTATTGGATTATAAGGAAAGGAATATTACTAGCTAAGTATTAAAAAACGTCATCTACAAGCCTTTTCATGTACAAGCCGTGTGTTCAATTGTCTCGTCGAAAGTTCGTGTGCCTAAATTTATGGTCCGGGACATAAATTTGTGACCGTTCTCTAATATATTTTTCATATTTTGAACTTGTGCTTAATTAGATTTCTTACACACGCACAAATTAATTCATACTATATGGTTATATTTCATTGGTATGAATATGGATCCCAACTCTCTTTCTTGATCACAGCTGTACCGTATATATGTTCTATTTGATCATTCAGTAAGAGTTCAAATTGTTATGATTTTACAGCTCCAGAAAAAGACAACGCGTTCCTTCAGCATATAATCGATTTATAAAGTAAGTCGAACTTTTTGTTCATATTTCAGTTTCAGCAATACGTCAACTCTATATTGATTGTATAGCCAAAGCATCGTTGAACATCATGCATCCATAATCAAAGAAGTCAATCTCCACGGCCATGATAATATCTGAAATCCTAACTATAATTCTATTTATAGTAGGATAGATCTTTGAAGTAATTTCAATTCTTTTCCAAGTGAAAGCCTTTTCCCTTATGGCATAGTAATACATCTATAAAGTACTTTCTTTCCATACCAAGTAGTTAAATGTTGGAGTGCTAATGTTCATGAATCTTCTCAAATCTTATAATTATTTGTAACAACAAATACATATTTAGTTAATTAACCAATAATTCAAGTTGTCTTCTAACCATGAGGACACGTGGTCTAAAGGTTGTCAATATTTATAAAAATGAAGTCTTGTTTGTTAACAAGAGTTTGATGCGCACTTACAGGGAGGAGATTCAGAGGATAAAGGCTAGCAATCCAGAGATTAGCCACCGGGAAGCTTTTAGCACTGCAGCAAAAAATGTAAGTCAGATAATATATTGTATTAACAATAATATAAGATCACACAATGCTTAATATGTTATGATCATATTGATAAATTGGATTAAAAATAGAAAGAAAGTAAAAAATAATAATAATAATAAAATAAAACTGAAATAATTTATCTTAAGAAAAGACAGAACTATGTCAGATTAGTTTCCTGTAGAACCTGCTCAAATGAATAAGACTATTTCTCTTCCACTTCATCTTTCTTGTAATGCTTAATGCAGCACAGCTACTAATTTATCACTTGCTATTCAGATGGTCACTAATTAACTTGGAAATTAATCATAATAATAGTATCATATGTAAAAATGGTATCATTTCAGACTGTTGTGCTTGAATTATCAAATCTTATTAATTAGAGCCAACTGAAGTAAGTGAATTAAATCTTATTATCTCCAAAACAAGATGATGATGTAGGATTGTGATATGACATTTAAATTTATATATATTTCTTCTTATTTATCCAATGCAGCTGTATATTAGCAACAGTATTGCTGTGCATCTTGTCCAAAGTACATTTTGGTTGGCCTAGATTTTACTATTTCAAGGATAAACAGAAAAATGACAAGTAATAAAACAAAAATAAATAAATTATTAAATTAAGCTAATAACGTTGTATTCTGTCAATCAACAACACGAGAATGATTGGAAGAGAAAATAGAAGAGGTTGCAGCAGCTACACTGATCGAGATTTTTATTTTTCATTTTTCAGTGGGCGCATTTTCCTCACATTCATTTTGGGCTGAATCTGGATGGCAATAAACAAGCAAAGATGGATCATGCAGTTGGAGGAGAAGGGACACAGCAATCCCTTGGCTTTTATTGAAATTTCTGTTAGTAATCAAGGACAAAGTTTCTTTTTTCTCTCACAGAAGTTTCAAGAATTGTGGCACTTTAGTCCCTTTTATCTTGAATTTGAAGATTTACATATAAAATATTAGAGTATATATAGTTCAAATCACTGACTTAAATAGGAGGGACTGATTGCCACATTTCTTGAACTTTAGGCGTGCAAAGATGCACTTTTGTCCTGAAAATAAAGGTTGTTTATTTGTCTGTAAGTGTTCAGATTTTACTGAGGTTTGTGATCTTTAAATTAAACAGGAAAATTCTTGTATTAATATCAGAACCTATGTAATATGTTTGTTGTCCTTTTTCAATGTGAGTCTGGGCTTGTTGAAGCATTGATTCTTCTTTCATATTTAACGTATAGCGCGATTTTATTCTTAATGTGAGCCTGCAAGATGGTGATTTGTCTAAAATTAAAAATTTTATTGTTCGAACTTTATATGAATCAAATCGTTCATTCAAACTCTCTAGGCTTCAGATATGTCAAGAGCGGAGTCTTTATATTTATTGTATTTATAGAACATATGTAAAAGAGGCAAATATATTAAACTCTTATTTATTAAAGACGAAATTTAAAGAATATCCACAAGCATCTTTATAAAAACTTGAGAAATGATTAACATGGTATCATAATCAAACAAAATGACTTAGGTCATAGTTACGCGGCTATTTATTTATGAAAACTATACCCATTGCCGAATCTTTAATAAAAAGATTAATCCGATTTGCATAATGAGCATGCTGATGACAACATTATAAACACATAAACCCCCCCCCCCCTCCCCCCCCCAAAACGGACTTAAAACTTTAAGAGTGTGTTTGATTGGCATGAAAAATATCATTTAGAAAAGAAAATATTTTCTATCTTTTGTGGAAAATAAAAACCACCTCTACCTAAAGAAAATTAGACATATTTTCAAAAATTGGAAAATATTTTCCATGGAAAAAAATAGCAATCAAACACTCTAAATAGGAATTTGGGTGAAAAATTAATATTTTTCATGAAAAATAAATATAATCAAACACACCATAAGAGCAAAATGCTGTGATGCACCCAGTTATCATCCCTTGTATGAGTAACAATGGGAAGTGAGGACCACAAGGCCATATCCATCACTTTACCCTATTTTGAAGGGCTGTCTTCCAAACCCTGTGTGTGTGTGTGTGAGAGAGAGAGATAGAGATAGAGAGAGAGAGAGAGATGTATGTATCAAATATGTATGTATTCATTGATAGATACAATTCAAGTGTTCATAAGTCACATTCAGTAATCAGGTTACTTATCAAATCAGGAAATGAAAGCCAACAAACACAGAATTTTATGGCACCCCACAAATATGAAACACAGTAAAAACCGACACAGTCTTGGGATACGCAAAAATTTACTTTAAACGTATGAGAGTTGGTGAAATATTAATTTATATACACATATTCCATAAAGCTGAAAATTGAAGAATTATCAGTATTAGCAGTGTGCAAAGAATAAAAATATCCTCAGTTGAATAAATCTCTAACTTTGGTTAGATTTAAGAATTTTTCATAAATATTTTTTCGTGCTACTGACTTCGTAAGTCATGATTGTGATGCATGATCATATGCACAACATAATTTTCTAAAATTCGAGCCCTATCTGGGAGCACTATTTCACCAAAAATTGATTTTTTGCACTTTCATGTGGATCCCCTTTTAATTTTATAATACAATGCCAAGCATAACTTAGATAACTCACTTCTCAGATATTAATCCCTATGCCTAATTTATCCTTTTATTTTAAGAAAAATTCTAAACGAATAAGGCCTAGTGACAAGCCCTGTTGACAAGGGTTGAGGCGGCTCTGATGCGAATTTCAACAGGGCCTATCACCAAACCCTGTTTGTGTAGAAGATCTCTTATTTTAAAGGTAACAATTGATTTAGCCTTTTTTTTTTTTTTTGACTGATTCAAAAGGTGTATGATGATTTACATGAATTTAGCCCTTGTTTGAGCCCCTTTTTTGGGGGAAAATGTATTTTTGAATAGTGTATTGATGAAAAATGTGTGATTAAAAAATAAGAAAAAATTATTGATTTGCGTGTAATATTATTTTATTGAAAAATATGTGGTTGAAATGATATGAAAACACTATTAATAATGCATTTTTTTTCAAAAGAATGAAATTCAAACAAGAACTTAATAAATTCAACCAACTTTTTTTACTTTGTTTTTTGGAACGAACAGAAATAATGGAATTGAGGATTTAACATGCACAATAATTTCGACCAAAATCTTATAAAATTCAAAGATAAAATCGATACAGGCGAATATTTATATATAAGAGGAAGGGGTTTTCATAATTTTTCCAAGTCCAAATACTTCATCATCACTAGGAAAATAATCAAACAACGTACAGTTAAGTATCATTGTATCGTTAATGCATGCTACTGTCTGTCAACAGTGACGTGACAGAACTTCTGCATGAATGATAATCCCTAAAGAATCTGCCTCAACAAATCTTCCATTAAAAATAATGCTGAATAGAATGAATCTTACAGCCACAGCCTTTAGGGATTTTCTTTTCTTTTCTTTTTACAAAAGCCGTCAAGTTAATCATAACTTCTGCAGTATATTTTATCAGAATTTATACAGACATGACTTTAATCTACATGATTTTTTCAATTTAATTCTCTTTTTCCTTACTAAATCGAAATAAAAAGTGCTATATAAAATAAGTGTAACCAAATTCTTTTCTTTGAAAAAAAAAAAAAAAAGACTTTATGCTGTCCCAGCAATGACTTTATTTGTCTTGGGGAGTAGAAAAGGAGAGATTTTGTGGGAAAGAGAACGAGCTGAGAGAGATTTTAATTAATGGAAAATTGGATAATGTATTAAATAGAGAATCTGTAACGTCAAATCATGTTCTTTGGTGTTTTGGAATTTAGTGTCAAAATGATAGGTTGGTTCCATGCTTTACCTTTAAATTGTCTGAACGATGGATCGGCGGTCTTGTCACCAACTCAAACATTGTCATCTTCTTTGGACACACTGTTGAAAAATAGAGCACAGCTCAATCTGGAGCTGTTTTGACACGTTGTTGAGTGGAATTCGTCTACTTGCTTTGAAAGATCAAAATAGACTCGTATTCTCTTCTATAAAAATATCAAAATCAATTATTCAGGGTAGAAACATAGTACTTAGTTTCTACTATTTTTTCATTGTATTTTAGGAGACAAACGCTTAAACATAAACTTATAAAATTAATAAGGAACAGATACAATTCTGTTCTTTTCTTTGGTGACTCGACTTCTTTTTTGTTCTTTCTGATATTTCTATATTATATTATATTCTGTGAGATTTTATCAACAAAGGCAAACCCAAACTCAATTCTCTCACACGCATTTAAATTTTTGGGCACATACACAGACAAATATGGACATGTGTCGATACCTATAATCGTAGAGGCTGACTCACAAAATTATGTTGTGTCAAGCTCAAATTTTAGAAAACTTTATTTTGCATTTGATAAGATAAATTAGACAATATTATAAAGTAAATAAATAAATAAAGAAAACGAAGAAGCTACCTCGTTTTATTTACTTACAAGCAATGTTTTGAAAATTGATCTGGTCATCGATTTGATAAAGGTGAAGGGTAAATGATCAAAAGGTTTAATCGGGGTCGAATCGGATGCAATAAATACATACAAAAAACAATAAAATTCTATGAAAACAATAAATTTTTTAAAAAAATTTTCATATTAATAATTTGTTAATTAGATTTATTATTCTATAATTTATTAACATTTTTGTTATGTCACTATCCCATATTGAAAGTTTATGAAACCATTGAAAAAAAGTGCAGCTATAAAATGTATTATCCCTTATTGGAAGTTTATAAAACCATTTAAAAGAAGTGCATCTATAAAAAGAGCATGCCATCCAATATTTCTCTATGTTATGAGACCAACTCATGAAGTTGAAAAAAAAAAAAAAAAAAAAAATTTGAAAAAACCACAAAACTACAACTGGTTCATCGGTTTACAGCTAAACCTGCCAGTCTGGTGAATTTTTAAACGGTTTAATCATAAGCGGTAAATCAGCATGACTGGTCCTTTTCCTTTCTTTCTTTTTATTTTCCTTATTTTTTATTTATTTTTCGTTTTAAAGTCCACCTGTTAGAAAGATGATTTTGTGCCTTGTGGAACTATTTTGAGTGGTAGTGCGAGATGGAGCAAAGTTTTCCGATGGGTGGTAGGGTGCTTAATTATTCTTAGAAGTAGAGTATTTTTAAGCGTGACGAAGTTTAAAATATGTGTTCTCATCCTAATTGGGAAGGAATTAGACTTATATATAGACTTCAAGGCATGCTTAGTGACATGACAAATTTCAATTGGCACCAACTTGTCGAGTATCAGTTACAAGTTGGTCGAGCAGAATATCAACATGTACTCTTGATCGACCATCCAATTTGGACGGTGCGTCATCTAGCATCATTAGACCCCTCTCTCAATGAGTCGATTGCACTATTACCCACTCGTATTGAATCTAGTCATTAGCTCCAATCACGCAGCCTCTCTCCGAGGCACGATGTCAAATGTAAATCAGAGTAAAATGAAATTTTCCAGTGCCGCAAAGTCACAAACTTGGATTCTAATGTTCCATTATCATAGATGTTAAAGAAGGCATCAAATTTTCGGTCTAATCACTCATCACATTATTGGGATTGTACCATCCTTAGTTTTCTCCATATGGAGTCTATTCTAAAGAACGAAAACGAGGAAATAAATACCAAAAACACTAGCAAAATTCTTGTAAAGACCACTACTACAAGAAGTTCATAAGCTCGGAGAGCCACAGTGAAGTTTGAATCCAACTGCATGGTAACAAACCACTAAGACAACACATTCTCGAGTGTACCGCTGCATCAAGATCATCATCAAGTAGCATTGAAGTTAGAAAGTGTAATATGTAAAACGCTGGAGAAAGGAAAGCAAGGGACTCGTCACACAAGTAATTCAACACCAAAAAAGCACAAAAATAAACACCGTTTTCATTGTAGTTGTGCACTGTACAAATTTCGAAATTCCAACAGGTTGGTACCCGGGGATTCTTGAAAAGTATACTGTTAAATTTGCAGAGCAACTTTTTCAAGGCTAGTCTTTACCTTTTTAGAGAAAAATAAAGGTAAAACTCATCCACAACAAAAAGCCTTAGGGGTAAAACTCGTTCCTTCTTAATATGAACTTCTAATTTCAGTTTGTTGTATTGTACTTACACCATCCTCGGCATCCTTCTATTCTATAGGTTTTCAGTCTTATGAACTAGAAAGCATACGACACCCAAGAGAAAAGAATACACCC